TCCTTGAGATACCTGACATCCTCTTTGTACACTAGCACCTGATTTAATTTCACATAGACTTCCACTGAGGATACTACCAGCTAATAAATGAGTATGACCCTTATGATTTTCAAATAAGTTCAAATTAACTTTAAGTGATTAAAAAAGTAAGAATGAAGTTTGATAATTGTCTTACTGTAAGGTTAAAAAAAGAAGTTAATGTATATATGAAATATTACTTTGTATTCATATGATTTTTTTTAAATTTAAATTTAATTATTTTTTGAAAGAGAGGGGAAGGCAGGGAAAAATAGAGGGAAACATTGATTGGTTGCCTCTTATACGTGCCCCAACTGGGGAATGACCCCGCAACCTTTTGGTTTATGGGGTGATGCCCAATTAACTGAGCCACACTGGCAAGGTCTTCATATGATTTTATTATAATTACCATGGACGAGATCTAACTCAGAACATTTCTCTGGCTGATGCGCCCTCACTGCTTGGTTTGCATTAGAGAAATAATTCAACAGGTGTGTCCAAGAAGTCTTTGCCTATTGAAATCATTCATTCTGAGATCTATTTTAAAGACAAGAAAGTTATTTGAATGCAAAACTGCTCTAAAGAAGAACAATAAATGTAAAATTGGAGCCATTAAAATTAAACTCCTATCTCCCAGCATCTATTCTCTCTGACTTTCTCTTAATCACAGAAGTCCTCCCCACCCCAGTACCTTGTCAGTTTTAGCAGGGCATGCGGTATTTCACTGTGGCCCTGGCTCATGGTTGCCCAGATTACATTTCCCAGCCTCCCTCACAGATGCCTGTGGCAACAGAAATAAGTTTAGATCAATGGGCTGTGAGCAGAACTGTGTCTGTGACTTGGGGGTCAGAGCTGCAGGAGCACGCCTGGAATTCCTCATGACTGTTTGCCGGCTGGATGTGGCGACAACATGGCAGCAGCTCTCGCCCAGAGGCAGAAGCCAAATGTTGAGGGGGCAGAGCTGACCAGTCATGATGCAGAGCCATGCTCTGCCTTCCTGTGCCTGCCCATTTTTAGACCATTGTGGGAGAGAGATCTTCTGTTATAGTTAAATCATTCCTTTTAAAAAAAAAAAAGATTTTATTTATTTTTAGAGAGGGGAAAGAAAGAGAGGGAGAGAAACATCAATGTGTGGCTGTCTCTCGTGCGCCACCCCTGGAGTCCTGGCCTGTAACCCAGGCGTATGCCCTAGACTGGGAATCGGACAGGTGATCCTTTAGTTTACAGGCTGGCACTCTATCCACTGAGCCACACCAGCCAAGTTGGTAGTTAAGTCATTCTATAACAGTCTTTTTGGCATAGCATTTTAGTAACTAGTCACCAATTAATAACTAACAGAAAAAAGTTGTTGGTGACTAATGTTTTTCAGCTTAATTTTCCCCAGTTTTCCAATAATGAAAAATGTCAAGTTTAAAGGATAGTACAATGAATACTCATATACCTACCACTTAACTGAACACTTATTCATATTTTGCCATATTTGCTTTATATACATGTATATATGCATTTTTTGAACATCAAAAAACATTAGTACACTACATTCCTAGATACTAGCTGAAGGTAATTTTTAGCTGGAGAAAATGGAGGGTTGTTAGGAGTTCTGGAGTTTTCTTCAGCTTCTCCATGGAGTTTAGGCGTGTTTAATCATTTGATATTGAAAGAAAAATCTTCCTATGGAAACAAAAGCAACATTTCATACAAAGTTGGCTCTGTGCCGAGCCCTCTACACATTTCCTGGCTGAATCCTCCTCACAGCCCTGTGGTAGGTGCTAACGTCTGTATTTTACAGATGAGGACACGGAGGCTCGGAGTGTGTGGCAGACACAGCACACACACAGGAAGCGCTGCTCTAAGTTAGTGGAAACCAAATACTTTTAAATGGCCTTTTGATTCAAAGGAAAATAGGCTAAGGAATTTAACTGAAATGGAGATTTTGGGTACTAAAAAAATATGATGAGTTTTATTTTAATCTTCAAAAGAAATAAAGTTAAGATGGGAGATCTTGGAAGAAAAATTGTGAACATTTAACAGATGGAGGTAAAGTCCTGGTCAGAGTCTCTTGCCCTCCTCAGCATGGCTCACTTCCTTGAATCCATTTAGAGGCCTCTCCCCATAATAAAAAAAAAATGAAAACAGATAAAAGAAAGCAAGATAAAAAGAACCTTGCTTTATTACACAATACAGCCTTGTGCAGAGGGAAGAACGGTTATCAATCTCAACACTTCAAAAGAATTCCGTTACTCAAGGACAGTTTTTACTGAAGGACAAAGACAGAAAAGTGTAGTCCAATGTGACTTATGAAGCAAAAAATCTTTTAAATTTAAATTCTTAAATTTAAATCATATGTAAAATGTATAGTTTAATGCATGTTAGCACCTATGTACAGATTTGTGTAACAACAACCAGGACACGGAACAATTCCATTATTCCTTCCAAATCTTTCCCGCACACCGAATACCTGGCAACCACTGCTCTGTTCTCCATGCTACATAGTTTTGTCTTTTTGAGAACGTCGTATAAATGAATTAGTGGAGTCTGTAACCTTTTAACACTGGCTTCTTTTGGTCAGGATGCCTTAATCCAAGTTATTGTGTGTATCATTCCTTTTTCCGAGTAGTGCTGAATTGTATGAATGTAGCATGGTTGTTTATTCATTCACCTTTGGGAGACATTTGGATTGTTTCCAGTTCTTGGAAGTTATGAATAGAACTGCTATAAACATTTTTATGTATAGGATTTTATGTGAACACAAGTTTTTATTTTTCTAGGAACCAAGAGTGGGATAGCTTGGTTATATGGTAAGTGTATGTTTAATTTTGGAAGAAGCTGCCAAAGTGTTTTCCACAGTGGCGGCACCATTTTATATCCCTACCAGCAGTGTATGAGAGTTCCAGCTCGTCTTCATCCTTGCCGATTCTTGGTATTGTCAGCATTTTTTATTTTAGTCATTCTAATAGGTGTGTGGCAGTACCTCATCATGGTTTTCATTTGCCTTTCCCTAATGGCTAATGATTTATATGTCTTTTTATGTGTTCATTTCTCATCTGCATACGCTCATTGATGAGGCATCCAAGTCTTACAAGTATTTTTTTTAACTAGGTTGCCTGTTTTCCTATTGTTGAGTTTTGAGGGTACTTGATACAGTCTAAATACAAGTCCTTTGCCACACATGTGATTTGCAAGTTTTTTTTCTCTCCCAGGCTGTAGCTTGTCTTTTCATTTCCTTATGTTATTAGCAGAGAAAAGTTGCTAATTTTGATAAAATCTAATTTATAATTTTTTAATAGATTATGCTTTCAGTGCCATGTCTAAGAACTCTTTAGCCCCACTGCATGAAGATTTTTCTCTTATTTTTTTCTAAAAGTTTTCTAGTTTTACTAAAACTAACTATTTTTCAATAGTTAAAGAAAACTGAGGCAGTTAATGGGAGTATAAATATTTTGGATTGACATTTTCCATGTTTAAAATATTTTCAAGCTACCTAGAATATTGCATATAACATATCTGTGAAATACAAAACAAATTTCAAAAGGAAAGGTCTTGATAACTTTAGAAGAAAACAATTCCAACAATATACTTCATTATGAAATTCTCGATTCCCTCCCCAAAACAGGAGCATGAAATGGATTTGCTTAACATAAAACTACTGTTTTATGTTGAGTGCAATTGAATATGGAAAATCTTATACATCTTGACACCAGTCTCAGTAGAAGAAAGAAACTTCTTTTCAAGGATCAAACTCTAAGATCAGTTTCTAACAGCCCATGAAATTGATCATTTTAATGAAAACTCATTGATAATCCCAGGGAAACAGTTGTAATTTATAAAATTTCCAACTGGTTTTACAACTGTACAACTTCAAAAAAATTCTTTTAAAACACTTTGCAAATTATGCAATTCTCTCATAAACCTCTCCTGAACGACAACTGATTTCAAGGTACAAAGACTTGTGCCACTGTGGACCTACAACTACATACATTTTTTCAAGGCTTATCATAAATATAACTGTCACAAAATACATATGAGATAACTGAGATATTAACAGTAAATTAATAGTAAATTCTCTACAGGTTTAGATGTCTCTTATGTGGACAATATACTGAACAAGAAAATAGACAGGGCTAAAAATATATGAACTTAAGAAGACAATATAAAAATACCGACAGAGGTCATGACAGAAAATATTGCACAGACCTGTCACAGGATTAGGCACACTGACTTAGAAAAGTGAGAACTGTAAGGGAGGAAAAACTTCCTCTACCTTCTTAGGTTCTGCGACTGGGGCCTACAGATTTAATTGACAAAAGACAGGTTAACAGAAGAAAAGACTTAAGTTGGATGCACATGGGTGCTTCACAGAGAGGAAGTGAAAACCCAGAGCCAGTTAAACCCAGGAGCCAATACACCAGTTTAACAAAGGGCAATACATGGAAGAGGAGCGACCAGAACAAGGAGAGGGGTTTGGGCTTCTAGGGGAAGATGTGGGAAGGTGAGCGCATGGGGAAACCTAGTGGAAGACGGGCTCTTTCAGTGAGGTCTGTGTAAGCAGACTCAGGTCAGTGCCGTCCCCGGTGACAGTCATCTCTGGCAATGGCCTTTCCCTGGTGTGGGAGAAGGAGACGACTTCACAAATGGAAGTGGGTGTTACCTTTATAAAGTGAAATCTATGCCCTGCTTTTTCTCAGGAAGGAGGAGGGCGGAGTGTTCCTCCTGTGTCTGCTGTTTCTTAATTGCCTTCAGTTCAAAATAACCCTCATGCCAAAGTGGCTTATTTTGAGGTGGCATGTTCTGATCCCCTTCAGAACTGTCTCACGTTGCCTGGCCGCCTGCATATTTCCCGTGTTATATGTTGGTCCAGAAGACTATTTCCATTTCAAAACCGCATTTCCCCATCTGTATTCACCATTTAGAATTACAATGAGAGTTTAAGGATTAAATGCTTCAATATAACACTCAGTTCATAAAGCGCCAGTATTACTCACTTCTGGTGTCTGAGCCACTGAATTCCATATAACTGGTCTCTGAAGAAACACCACCTGCTTTGTAGCCAAGTTCCCTTCACTGCAAATTAAAACAATAGCGTTAGTATTTGGGAATTAGTAATTCTCTATATTTCACAGTTGGCTAGAATGTTCCTTTGTAAAATAATCTCCCAATCCAAAAATAATTAAGAAATAGTTTTATTTAAGTCACAGCTGGAAAAACAAGGGAAAAAAATCCCCCAAAATGGAATATGGTCATTACAAAAGAAAATGTTAATGTTTAAAACTTGTGACCTCGTCATACTAACAGAGCTGCTTTCACCTCTGTGTCCCCTTCTAGTCTTTATCTACACAATGCATTTCTGCACGTCTGCAACCACTGCATACTTGCATTTCTGTGTCCTATCTCTTCACGTAACGCCCTTCCTTGTTTGTACACTGTGATCATATTCTTAATAGCTGCATAGTTATCTCAAAGACTTAAGATACCAAAATGTATTGTCTTTCCTTTATTATTAAAATACTCGGTTATTTCCAGTTTTCTATAATTATAAATAATGCTGCTATAAAACTATGTATAGTTTTCCTATTCTTATGACTCAAGAAATATGTATTGTCTTCTTATTCTTATGGCTCAAGGTAATCTTGAGATAAATTCTCAGCATGAGGACTATTAGGTCAAAAGGGTATGATTTAAAGTTTTTTTTTGCATTGTGAAACTTGTCTGTTAAAGAGAAGAGACTAATTTGGGCTGCCACATCTGAATAATTTTATATCGCTTTTCAGCAGAGGGACTTGAGCCACAGCTATTAGTTTTCTTTGCAGATGCTGCTTTGTAGGCAGCCACTCAGCGTTCTCTTTATTTAACGACCATCATGGCAAATTACCCTTTGCCAAAGACGACTTGGGGTTTGGATTTCTCTGAAATGTTTTCCACAGAGTCTCCATGGATTTATAGGGAGGAGTGTCTGTAGCTAATGTTGCTCAGTTACAACTTTTATTATGCAAAAACCCCGAACAAAACCTCACTATTAGCTGCATTTTATGCTGAGCTCTTTTTTTCTGGAAAACAAATGCAACATTGAAACTCTGGCCCTTGGAGGTATATGTCATCCCTACACCACTGGAGCCTCCCAAACTTATGGATACTGTTGAATTTTGAGAAACAAGCAAATCTTCCCCCGAAGTGGGATAGGAGACTGCTTCTTTTTTATTTTTATTTTTAAAAGACCGCTTCTAGTCTAATCTCATTTTATTTTGACCTTAGAAGAAAAAGACTTGGTATGAAATATATCATAACTTTTGGGAACAACTTAAATCATCAGGAGACCTCAGCTGTGATGTAGGCATACGGGGAAGGGCGCGGCAGTGTACAGAATGGCCCTGTCTATGTTTGCGAGGCCTGGGGTGTGCTGACAAAGGAACCAGAAGTGGCTTTGGAACCAGAAGTTCTTGTGTTCAAATCCTGACTCTCCCATAGCACTTAATAGTTGACGACTTTAGCAAAATCCTTCAATTCTCTGGCTTTCTTTTTTCTATTAGGGATCTTGTGAAGGGTAAGTAAACCCATGTCCATGAAGACCCTCCACTGTGCCTGCTGCCAGGAGCACAACAAATGTAATTTCCTCCCACTTCCTCCATTTGCTTAAGGAAATGTGGGGTGGAGTTAAGTGGGAGGGAAATGTCTCAGAATAAATAATAGAAAAGTCAAGGGAAAGGGTACACAAGAACAGAGGTTTCTGGGTAATGTTCTAGGTGTGTGGTCTGCTCAGAGAATCACATGACGGAACAAAAGGCCTGCAACTATCCAAAAGTGAGAAGGAAGGATTAGAGTAGAATTCTTCTTCTTGACTAGAAAGCAGGAGAATATCAGGGTGGGGATTGTGGGTGACGCTGAAGGATTCACAGGGTGGGGCAAATTTGAATGAACGAGGTTGTAATGACTGTCCTAGAGTAGCTTCTCCCCATCTACCGACAGGGTAAGATGGTAAATGTAGAGATGGCTTCTCAAAGGCTGACTGTCTTAGGTCAGTCTCCAGATGCCCAGATAAAACTTTGGAAGGCCAGCATCTTCCCATCTTGGGAGGTTCTTTGAGCCAAATAAATCTTCAATTTGAAATATGCCTGAGACCTCTGTGTCCTCATTTTCTGAGGGCCATTCTGATTTAAAACAGGCCTGGCTGTTTTCAGAACTCCTGTGAGGTGGGGAAGCCCTTTTGGTCTGAAGAATACAATCTTGGCAGAACTAAGGGAAAGAGGCCTCAAGCCTTACAGGGCAACAACTATTTGTCAGGGCATGTGAGTCCCTCACAGTCTCTGAGGCTCCTGAGGTCATTGGATTTACTGAGCTGGAACAGAGCATAAGGTGGGGCAAAGCAGGTTTACCATTGTAAGGACATGAAACAGAGTGGAATCTTGTATTATTATTTATTAATTATTGTATTATTTTCTATACAAACAACTGTAGACCTATTTTGCCCCACCCTGTATGTGCCCAGCAGCACAGGTTTCTGAGAGGATTTGACTGGTGACGTCGTTATGGGACTAGAGAGTGCTTCAGAAGCCCTGGGTGCTCTCAGAGGACACGGCCTACCCTTCCTTTCCCTGCAGAAATTATCATGCAAAAAGCACTAGATGCAGAAGGAAATGGGTTTGACCAGTTCCACAGCTTTACACACAAAAGGTCAGACACATCATTTTCTGGTGATGTGTTCATCAGAGAGGCAGTCCATGGGAGGAGAACAGCATGCATGGCTTTAGAGTCAGATGGATTCCGGGCTGGCATCCCAGCTCTGCTGCTTGCTAACCAAGTGACGCTGAGCTAGTCGACCAATCATTCTGAGCCTCCTGTTTCTTTTCTGTTAAACAGAGATAGCTCTAATGAGATCAGTGAAAGAGTGGATGCAGAGTTCTTAGCACAGACCCTGAGCACAGCAGATGCTCAATAAGTGTTTCTCCCTCCTTCCCTTATCTTCTTCTATGTATTACACAAGGAAACAAAAAGAAGACTATATTTAAGTGTTGTTTAAGGGAAAGAGTGTTACAATGGCATTAATAGACTGCTCATGTGGCTTAGTGGATTGAGCACTGGCCTGCAAACTGAAAGGTCACCAGTTCAATTCCCAGTCAGGGCACATACCTGGGTTGTGGGCCAGGTCCCTGGTTGGGGGCTTCCCAGTAACAGAAGATCTCATGGACTAAACTAAAAAAGTAACTTCATCTTGTATAGTGCTTTTGGTGTTCTGAGTACTTTCCAGGTAAATTAGCATTTGTTTCTTATGATAGTCCTTTAGGATGCACAGAGAAGACATCCCCCCCGCCATTTTATGGATAAGGAAGTTGAGACCCCGAGTTTTAAGGGTTTTTGTCTTGGTCACCTCTAGTCCCCACCTTTTCCATAGCACCACGCTCTCACCGTAGCAAGTGTGGAATGAAGTCAGTAAAGCCCCGTCCGCAGGGAAGAGTGGCCTAGTTTAATTCCATTCTGACTGGGAAGCTTTATAATAAATGGGTAAGTGTAGACTATTTTGCAAAGTGCAGATTTGTCTGCAGCATCTCCCAAATTTAGCGTTACAGTTCAGGGTTGTAGTGGAGAATAATGAAAAAAATAAAAACAAGCGTTCCTTTTTCCTGGGCCGATTAGACTATTTAAACAGGTCCATTCAGGTCCTGGTGGGAGCAACAATGAAGGAAGGAGCAATGGGAGCAAGGTCATGCCCTGAGGCGTTCGAGCCCCGCGTTAAAGATGAAACATTGAAAGCTTTACCTTAAAAAACTCCCCCCACGAATTCAATTATAAAAAGAAGCAATAAAAGTAAAAATTTTTAAAAATTTAAAAAATTTTTAAATTTTAAAGTTATTTTTGCTGGAAGTTCTGAGGACGACATGAAATTCTGCTTGGTTTAACATTGCTTATGATTTCAAGCATCTATGAAACAGGGCTGGAGTCCCTAGAATTTATGGGGAGCTAGGAGACAGCCTAGTCTTTAAAATATAAAAACCAAAGTTGCATTTGCTTGGCCAGTGGGCACTGTCCCCTCAATCCAGGCTAAGCTCCTGTTTGCGGCCCCCTTCCCCTCGGATGTCCTGCCTCACCCCTGCCTCTTCTCAGCCTGCCCATCTTCCGAGGTTCGTTTCAAGTGTGACCGCCTTCAGACAGCTTTCAATGATCCCTTAACTGAGGAGCAGCACCCCCTTTGCGGGGCTCCTATGGACCCCTCGCACGGAGCTTAATCCCTTTGCCAGCTTGCATGGCCACTGGGATGCGTTTCCCTCCTTCCAGGTCTAAGCTCCCTGAGGAGTTCGCCCTTTTCCTCTCTGCAGCTTCCGTGTTAAGTTGCAGAACACCCCTTTTAAAACGGGGCTCAGTAAATATTTGAAGAATCAAACACTTTATTAATAAGTGGTCATTTGAATTCTGTGATAATATATTAATGTCCGAGAACATGCTTAAAAAAACACCCTAGCAAGTGAAGGCTTGCAGGAGAAATAGAAGGCTTCCTAGGTCTTTTTATATATATGAAGTTCATTGACAATTAGTATGAATCTTTTAACTGTTTCTTCTCACAAAACGTGTTCTTCAGGCACTCTAACCCATAATAACTATAGTTTAGAGAATTTTATGTTAATTCAGAATATTAAAATTTCTCGTTATACTCAAATATAAAGATAATTCACTAATCCCCTTCCCCAGTTACTTTTGTAAGGAAAAGATTGCTTAAACAATACAGCAAAAAGGTACATTTGCTTATTTTAAAATTAAAAGCTTCTGTTAATCAAAAGACACCGTAAAGGGAGTAAAAAGACAAGCCACAGAATTAAGAAAGAATTAATTGCAACACATGTAACAAATAAAGAACTCATATCCAGTATATTAAAAAACAAACAAACAAACCCTTACAAATACAATTTTAAATGTGGGCAAAAGGTTTAAACAGGTACTTGACCAAAAAAAAAAAAAAAAAAAAAGTCCAAATGGCCAATAAACATATAAAAATGTGCCTACTTTTAGTAGAATTTGATAAATACAAACTAAAACCACACTGGGACCATAGTTTATACATACTTACCTGAATGGCA